TGTGTGTGTGTGTGTGTTATGTTATATAACCCATGGTTAGTACTTGGAAACCATGTATTGACCAGTTGAACTTAAGATTTTCATTATAATAAGATTCTACTTGTTTTTTGAAGGAATAACAACATAATCTTAGTTTTTCAATGTATTTATAGGAAGATTTGGTAGATATTGTTGATACTCGAATTCATCAGTTAGAAGATTTAGAAGCAACTTTTGCTGATTTGTGTGATGGTGATGATGAAGAAACTGTACAGAAATGGGCTTCAAACCCTGGGTAAGACTCCCAAACATTTTTTTTTTTCTCAAATTTGCCAATTTTCAGTTCCAAATATGTCTTTAAATGTATTAAATAAATTGCTTTTTAAAAATGAGTATTATTGCTGAAGATATAACTCAGTGGTAGAATACTTACTTTCCTAGCATGTGTGAGGCCCAGGGTTTGATCCCCACAGATTTACTAATAATAGTTAGCATTTATTGAATGTGTGCTCTGTCTCTATGGATTTCTCTTACATTATGTAACTTTGTTTCTTATAGCAATGTAGGATTCATTATTTTTTTAAAGACCTATTTTTTTAATATCTTTATTTTTATTTATTTATTTTATGGGGTGCTGAGGATTGAACCCAGTGCCTCACACTTGCAAGGTAAGCACTCTACCACTGAGCTACAACCCCATCCCAAGGGATTCATTATTATTATGTCCATTTAATTCAGAGGAAAGCAAGGCACAGGGTTCAAGTAAGTTGCCCTGAGTTGCATCGTAAGTGGGCATCTTTTTGTTACTGTGCATTAGTAGCCCCTAAATGAAAGTTATTACACTAGATTTTTGGAGAATTAAAGATGGGCAGTCCCTGTTCTAAATAGAACAAAAAAACTAATCTCTTAACAGAGAAGTAAATTACTTGACAAGTAAATTTCAGTATGAAAACTTGGCTCCTTTTAAGAATAACCTAACAAGCCAGGTATGGTGGCACATGCCTGTAATCCCAGCAACTTAAGAGACTGAGACAGGAGGAATTCAAGTTCAAAGCCAGCTTCAGCAACTTAGACCCTAAGCTACATAGTAAAATCTTGTCTCAAAATAAAAAAAGGACTGGGGATATGGCTTGGTGGTTAAATACCCCTAGGTTCAAACTCTAGTAGCAAAAAAAAAAAAAAACATTGATGTGGCTGTGTCCCTGAGCACTAATCTCTAAAGTATATAAAGAACTCAAAAAGCTAAACAAAAAAAAAAAAAAAAAGAATAACCCAATAAATGTTTGAGATAATGAGTATGCCAGTTACCCTGATTTGATCATTGTATACTATATTCATGTATGGAAGTACTACATTATATCTCATAAATATGTACAATTATTGTGTTTTAGTTAAAAAAAAAAAAAAGAATAGCCCAACTATAACTAAAGGAGTTTATTTTCAATCTGTCCATTAAGAGCAGGATTTGAAGTCTAATTCTTCATCAGGTCATTTATTTGGTCGATTCTTTCATTGTTAATGTTACTTTGAAAATGTGGAGGGGGATGAAAGCCTTTCAGAATGAAATCCTTTAATATTGGACCTGGTACGAAAGTGTATTTTAACAGTTGCTTTTCTTTATAATAATTCTTTAAATCATGTAAACTCAGAGAGCCAGAAGAGTAAAAACCATAGGCAAATTTTTATCCTCATGTGCATAGGAAGATCAAAATTAGTTTAAGACAATCTCCCACATGTTGTGAGATTGCTTCTATTTACACTGTAGAGAACAATCAGCTATAAAACAACAATATTACATGAGAAATTAGAATCACAAACCTACCAAATTTGTCATGATGAGTATTGAAAGTAATTCATCAGCTGTCCAGAAGAAT